CTGTTCGAGTACAAAACTTGACATCCATTTATAAACAAAGAAATAAATTTACTACATTGTACAAAACATACTTCGTATTAACACAGTGAGCTTGAAGTTCGGCAATAATATACACATCTCGAAACCCATATTCGAAAGCAAAATAGACGCAGTGAAGTTCATCACAGAATAGCTTAGCTGAACAATGTTTAAGTGACAAGAAACTGAGGGAAGAAGCACAGATTATATTCTACGACCTCACAACATCGTAAACGGCATTTTGAAGTTGCGAATAAATCCGACAGCTATCATACATTCCTATCTTCAATCCGTTCGCAACGTACGCAATTACGATTTTGTTCTTCGAGTCGAATATCACTTGCTGGCATCCAAAGCCGGAGTGACCAATGATGAACTCGTCCTCAAAGCACAATTATGCATCAAAAAAAGTTACCGCAGTAGTTGGCTGGTTGGTCACTTTATCTCAAGAGTCAACTGGATGAGCGGAGAGAGAAGGAAGAGACTGTTCTTATCTAATCGAAAAAAAGGTGAAGGTTTAGGTGAAAAAAATCCGTTTTTCAAAGAAGACAGCTGATGCGTTCCAAGTTCAAAGTGTAGGATATTTGTTTTTAGGCGATATGGAGCAAACAAAAATTGAAAATGAGGATGATTGGAGTTACAGGTTCAGGCAAAATCAATGTAATTTCGAAAGAGAAAAAATTCAATTCCAAAAACCTAACCTAGACCAGCAAAACATTTTGCCCACAGCCATGAAGGAAGCTTTCAATGAAATTCAAAGAAGCTCCACTTAGATTTCATTATAAATTTCCAACATAGATAGAATACCGCGCACTTTCAGATCAAAATTAGGGGAGCTCACAGGGTGAGGCAATCTGAGAGTCGACATTGCAGTGTAAATCCCAAAACTACTAATGTTTTTCATTCCTAATTTAGACCATAAGCACCTACCTGGTGCTTTAAACCCTACAAATCACACTTTGCTTAGCTAAAAATGCTTGTTATATGTTTTGTAAAAATTGGATTTATGAAATAATTGTTTCCGTGGAGCGAAAAAATCAAAATTTTTAGTGTTCAAAATTATTTCGTAGCTAAAGATACTGTAGACATTCTAAAAAACTTTGATGCATACAATGTAGATAATTCTTTACGCTATCACATCGTAGTAGTTGCGTTTGCCAGAAACTCATCTTTCGAAAAGCGAAGAAGAAATTTGCGAATATTACCTGCATGCCAGTGGTTTTTTTCCCTTTAACATAAATTTTAAAGCTGACAT